CAAACGAGCCATCATCTTGAGGAGATATGTTAAGGAATAAAATCTCACATCAAATAAAGATAAAAATATAAATCAATTTATAAAAATTTGAGTTACATCGTTTAATAAAGTTGACATTTTAGGGTGTGTTCGACACTCATTGTGGAGAAAAATAAATTTTGGAATAGTGATTGATGGGAAGAATGTGTGGTTAAAAAGTAAGAATAATTTTTGAATTTGTAATATTATTTTATTGATAAAATCTGTGATTGAAATGAAGAAAGAGAATGAGAATAGAATGAATGTCAAACAGGGGCTTAATCTCATAGTTCAATTCAAGTGTAGGGTATTGAAGTTTGCTTTAATTTCTGTCAGTGTTGCTGTAATTGTGGTTTTGAGGATTAGAATCCAGCTCAACCATAACAATATGCCTGATTGTTTTTTGAGGAAATTACACATAGACCTCGAATTAGATTTCCAATTTCACAAATAAGGTCACGTGTTTAATATTTCAAAAATCAGGTATTAATTAATAATTTAAAAACATTTTTATTTTTATATCTATATACAATAAAATAATTTGACCCAACCAAATCCTAAATCATTTGAACCAATTCTTCCTCTCCACCCTCTCTCCTCCCACCGCCCGCCGCCTCCATTTCTCTCCACTCTCTCACCTCTCTCCACAACACCACTTCCTCCAACCGCCACGGAGAAGGTGTACCGAATAAATCATTTGAACCAATTCTTCCCTTCCACCTTCTCTCCTCGCACCGCCTCCATTTTTCTCCAATATCTCCACAACGCCACCTCCTCCAACCACCACGGAAAAGGTGTACCAACGGTGCCAACTTCAAACCCAAGCAATCGCTGGCTACCACGTCTTCTTCCGAACCGTCGGAACCGCTATCCCTAACCTCCATTGGTCTCTACAATACCGTCGTCTCCTCCCTCTCCCTGCTACCGCAATCGCCACCGCAATCGCCACCATCTCATCCCCTCATTCCTCCCCCTTCCTCCTCCCTCCCCCCTCCCCCCACTCTAAACTCATCCCCAAAACCAGGTTTATAGTCAATGGTTTCAAACACGTCGATTCCAATTTCTCCATTTCATACTTTCTCTCCCACTTCCACTCTGACCATTACACAGGCCTAACGTCGCAATGGTCCAAAGGCATCATCTATTGCTCTTCCATCACTGCTCGCCTCACCCACAAAATCCTCAAAATCCCACAACCTTTCATTAATTGTTTGGGATTAGGGTTATTAATTAGGGATTTCGGCTTGGTGGTGGTTAGCAAATTCTGGTGGTGTTTGTAATTGGGTGGTGGTGATTGTAATATGCAGTGGCGAGGTAGTGGTGATGTTGGCGATACTGGTAAGATTGGTGGTTGTGGTACGATGGTAGTGGTGGTGCCACGGTGGTTACCTGTGACTTATTATTTGGTTATCTGTACGCTGCAAAGTGTGGATCTGAAGTTGGTGGCGGCAGTGATTGTGTGTTATGTGTGTTTGCTTTGGCTATGTGTGTGGCGATGGGGGTCTTGGGGTGGTGATAGTGGTGTTGGCTTTGAGATGTTGATGGTAACGCTGGTGGAGGAGGTGGCGAAGCACAAATGATTTTGGTGGTGGTCACAAATAATTTGGTTGTTTGTGACCACTAATTTGGCTTGTTGGCGATCAATAAACGATGTGTGACCAATGAATTAGATAAAATGTGACCAATACATGATGTGTTACCTAAATATAATTTATGTTTAATTAATGTGATGCTTGTGATCGTAAATAAATATTGTGACTTATAAATTTTGTAATTTGTGACCGATGAACAAATTGTGACGTTTAAATTTTTAAATTGTGACCGATAAACAAATTGTGATCTATGAAAATTTTGAATTGTGACCTAAAATTTTTTGCTGGAGTTGGAACACTTGTCGGAATCAGAGCAGTCGTCGGAACAAAATAGCGGCACAATTGTCATAAGAATAGTCATCGGAACTATCGCCGGAGATGAGTTGTGATAGAAATGGTAGCCACAATAGTCCCCAGAGCGGTAATGATGGTGGAGGTGGGGTGGGGTAATTATATTATATTAGAATTAAATATTTAATAATAAATTGATTTAATAATTCATTATTTCATAAATAAAAAATTAAAAAACCTGATTTGTGAAATTTGAAACTTGTTTTTGTATTTTTGAAAATGTG